ATGAGCACCAATGACTTCCATAAGGCTCGTTCCGATAGATAATTTGCAATCTTCGTTTTACAATAGACTTCGAAACAGATGATTACTACCTCTTCCTGAAAAAAGTCTTTCTTCTCCTGGCATTCGCAGTACCACACTTGTCTGAGTACTTCCTAGCTCCCAGCATCTCCTTCTTGGTATCCTTCGCTGAGTTTTTCTCATCTTTCTGATCTCTAACTGTTGGGAGTGTCCTGAGTTTGGTCCTTGGCTCTCTGTCTTCACTTGCTCTCTAGATGATCTGAGCTAGTACCGTCTATGTGTGGTCGACTCCCTATTACATCTCTAGTCCCAGCCCCTTCCTTGGAGTCACATGTATCTATCGCACTGCTCTCTCCACATCTGCACTTGGATGTCTTGCAGGCATCTCACATTCAACAGGTCCAAATTCAACTCTTTCTTCCTCTTCCCTCACTCCAATCATTCTTTCCCAGTGTTCCTCATCTTCACAAATGGTGCCGTAGAAACCCATAGTTGTCTTTGACTTCGCTCATTCTTCCCAACCCCGTGCCCAATCTGTCACATCCAGCCAGCATATCCTATTGGCTCTGCCTTTAAAACAAGTTCAGAACATGACCACTCCTTATCATCTCCAGCCCTTCCACCTTAGTCTAAGCCATCACTCATCCCTTGCCTGATCTGCAGCAACAGCTTCCTCATCTACCTCATTTCACCTTTACTGGTCCTTTAAACCTGTCAGATCATTCATGTCACTCCTGTGCTCACAACCCTTCAAGGGCTCCATATCTCACTCAAAGCAAAAGCCAAGGTCCTCACTACGGCTTATGTGGCCCTGCAAAGTCTGGCCTGTGGCTGGCTCTCTGACCCAGTCCCACACTGCCCTCCTCCGTGTTCACTGCCTTTCAGGCACACTGACTGTCTTGCTGTTTTTAAAATACGCCAAGCTTGCTCCCATCTCAAACCCTTTGAGACTGCTCTTCTCTTTTCCTAGAATGCTCTTCCCCAGCTATAATTACATAGGCTTCTCTCACTGCTCCAGCATCACCTCCTCAAAGAAACCACCCATGAGCCCTCTAACCGAAAAAGCAGCCTCTACCCTTCTCTAACTCTTTAACCTTGTTTATATTTTTCCATGATATTGTTACTGCTTGACATAACATTATCTACCCATCTGTATATGTAATTAATTATATTATTATATTAATTATTATCAGAAAATTAATTATTGGAGAAATAACCCCTTAAACTGAAAATGGTACTTTCTAAAGGCAGTTTGAAGATTCCTTGAACTAGACAAGACTCTGATGAAGATCAGTGCTGTTTAAGGTGTGGTTATAGAGCAGGGCTAGTCTGGGAATTGCTTGAGATCTGTCCACAAGATAAAAGAGCTTGTATGAGGATGCAAGTCAATGCACTGCTTCCTTCACTGGGAAAGTCTTACCAGGAAACAGATATAAACTGAACTAAATTATGTACTTAATGACATAGTTGATTCACATTCTGTTACAGATCAGTTACAAAGAGCCCACTGACCAGCATTTTGAATAACACTGATGTAGATCATTTAGCCCAGTATCTCCTCAACTTCTCACCTACAGTTTTGAAAACTACTTTTTAACCTCTCAACATACCAGGAGAGAGTTAAATGTGCTATGAGGAAGTTGCCCCTTCCACATACATATGACGTATACATTAATGACAACTCTGGAATATATGTATTGATGATGTGTATCAAGGGGAGGAGAGAGGATCAATACGGAAGAAGATAAAATTGATTTTCTACTGAGAATCATGCTGCAATGCACACAGCATAATCCTAATTTGACGAATCAGGTGGGCTAGGAAGAAAAATGTAATCTCTACTCTCACAAGCTTCCTTCAGGCGAGGATCAAATTTCTCTCCCTTTTTATATCTCCACAGAGGAGTATACTACACAAAGTCTTCACTCTTTGGCATGTGATCATTAGCTCAGCAAGTATTTACTGTGCCTACCTTGAACCAGGGGCTGGAGACCCAGTGGGAACAAGACAGAGACTCTGGCTTCATGGAAATGACATTTTAGTGGAGGAGACAGAAAGAAAAGTAACCAAATTCTTTTAAAATTCCAACCTGGCACCTTTCAGAAGTAGTATTAATGATATTCATGACTATATTGGGTGGTCACATTACCTGGCATAAATATTAGGGAGTTTTAGTTCACCAAACTCCTTGAGGGTTAGCAAGAGATGAGATGAAATAAACTATTACTGCAGTATCTTCTTTAGTCTCATAAATGTACTTATTCTTTAAAATGGTGACATTAATCCCAGGAAACATGCAACTGTTCCAAAATCCTTTTTTTTCTTTTTTTTTTAAAAATTTGATGATATTTATGAATATTGTTTCCTATAAGAAATACAAAGAGTTGAGTGGCTGTTAAGTATTTTCCTAAGGAAGCTAAATTTTACATGTCTTAATCAAAAAAAAAAGTTTCACATGCGCTTTAATAAAATTTGAACAAAAAAGCCTCTCGTCCTTCTACATCACAGAACAATACTTTATACAGTGAACTTTGATGCAGTCAAGCGCGTAGCGTCTCTAATTTCCACTACCTGTTCTGTGTTAGCCGAGAAGCAAAAAAATCCTGACTCAGCAGGAAAAAGATTTTGTAGCTTAAAAATTGTGTCACTTAATTAAATTAGGCTTTCTAAATGGAAATGATTTTCTAATCTATACTTGCAAACATGCTGCTCTTTGGTGGAATGCTTTTGAAATTTTCCTAAAATAATCACATTGTGCTGGATAATTTGAAGCGATGGCTGAGGAAAGTTTCCAGCTGTAGCTGGCCTTTTGCTCTAGAGTGGGTTCCAAGCAGTGCTTCCTACATGCTCATCCTGGGACTCAGGAAGGGTCAAGCTGCTTGCACTGAAATCACAGGAGAGATTTAAAACACACAGATTCTCAGGACTCAGCCTGGGCGACTTGGTCCAGCAACAGAAGCCTGAATGCCAAGTGGTGGGGCTGGAATTTTATCTAGAAAGCAATATGGCACCATTACAAACTCTGAGGCAGAGTGTGGCATTATCTATCAGATTTATGTTAAAATGAACTATGAAAGATGGGTTAGAGGGTGAGCCAGTCCCAAGAAGAGGAGAGCATTTAGAATATTCCACAGGGATCCAGGGCCAGTGATCAGCGCCAGACGAACTGAGTGGGAGGAAGGCAGCATTTTATAGGAGGCAGAACTTTAAGAACTTCGTGACTAATTGGATCTGGTAGGTGTTGAGAAAGCAGGAACTGACAGTGCCATCCATGCTCTGGCTTGGGTTACTGACTTAAGGGAATTAATGGGGTTAGGGTGGGAAGAAAGGAAAAACAAATGAGACTGTAAAATTCAGGGACTAATATAGTTTTTTGAAGCCCCCCTTTCCTTTTGTATAAAGGATAGCTTAGCATCACCTGCAGTTAGAGTCAAACAGCAGAGGTCTTCAGGAAAAGATTTGGGTACTTGTGTGACTCAGTTAGAACTAGGATCATTACCCCAAATCACTGTTCTCCCCACTTCTAGGGCAGTATTACAGAAAACTGAAAAAGTGTGAAAAGATGTATTTTAAAGACTGTTCAATCCAGCATTGATTCTAACACTGAAAAATCAGGAACAACTTCTGTGTCAACTCTAGAAGATTAGTTAAATAATGATACATTTATATCCTGTGATTTCAGTGCATACACTAGAGTGCCATGTAGCAATTACTGATGACATCACTGAATTGTATGTCATGATGTTTAAAGAGATGAGAAAAGGGGACCAAGATTGGTTTAGACGGTGTGGTCCCCTCCCCATATACATACATAGAAAAATGTCTGAGAGAACATGGATTAAAATCAACAGTGTTTTTAGCTGGATAGATGAACTATAAGCATTCTTTCCTTTAGTGATACCTTCATTTTCTGTTCATCTCTAAACTTGAATTGGTTTTACATAAAACGTGTATTATTAAAATGTATCTTATTTTCTATTAAAGAAAAAGAGCCCTATTCAATTTTCATAAGAATGTCAAATTTTCACCTACACATCCAATATCCAAAGCACACGTGTCTCCTCAATTAGCAATGCAGAACCTGCATCCCAGGCTTCGACGAAGAGTCACCTTTGAACTGAATGAGGACCAGCTCCTGCGTGTGAGATGAGTGAGAGCAGAGAGGGACAGCGTACAGAACCTGCCCTGCTGCCCTGCCCCTGGGTACCGTGTGTTAAGGCCTTGGATTATGGAAAAGCTAGAAACCTGACTGGTTACTTTAACTCTTACCTCTAACCATGAAGTGCTTGCAGAGTCATGCTTTAATGCTACACCTGTGACTGACACAAAATTCCATGAAAGCCCATTTCTAGAGACTCTGAAAATGAGTCTTACATTTATTTTACATCTCATGCTTTGCAGTATAGCTTTTTGTGTACGTTTGTTATACATCTTATTAAACTGCAAGCTCATAGAAGGCAGAATTTATGTCTAATTAAGGTCTGTATTCCCCAGTGTCAACAGTTTGCATATATTAGGTATTTAATATTCATAAAGAGAATTATTGATGTTTCTTGTATAAGACCCAATGGAATACATTATGTTTCAAATTTATTTTAGAAGTTTCTTCCCTTAAGAACAGATAGCCTTCCCTTTTAACTAATCAGAATTACATAAGCCATCATTTTCTTTCTTTCTTTTTTTTTAACCCTGGCTCTGAGGAAACACAGAACTAAATTTTTAATTCTCAATCCCAGTACCTATTACTTCATTCTCCCTCTAAATGGTCTTCAGCTTTTATTTGAATGGACCTGTGTTTATTATGTAAACATGCATACATGTAGGTTATATCATATACGTAAGTTACCACAAAGCCATTTTGGAAGTTGATGGAATAAAAAAAATGTAAAAAGCTTAATTATAAGTGGCTTAATAATAAATAATTAAACCAAGATTAAGAGTAAATTTAAAATAAAATGAGAAATATGGAACTCCCATCATGGCCTACAAGACGCTCCATCAGTGAGCGTGCTTACCTCTGAGCTCTGCCTGCCAAGGCCCCCAGCTCTCCCACATCCTCGCTGCGCTCCAGCTGTCTGCCTGTCCGATGTGCCTTGAACACCCCTGGCCTTGGGTTTTCAGGAGGTTTCTTTGCCTCAAAGAATCCCAAGCTCTGGAAGTGGCCACTCTTCCTCAGTGCTCTAGTCCCCTCCCTGATTGTTCTTCCCACGCGAGGCCTCTCCCTGGGTCCCGCTCTTCATCCTTCATTCTTTACTTTCTTCAGAGCACCAGCCACCTCCTGGTTGCCTGGCTGTCTCCCTCGCTGTCTCCCTGAGAGCAGACTCCTGGTCCTTCCTATTCACTGCTGCACCCTCAGGGTCTAGAAGAATGCCTGGCTTATAACAGGCATGGACAAAATTATTTGTCCCATCAAAGAATGAATGAATAATTAAAGGCATTCCACGCCGCCCCACCCAGGTTATAAGAAATCTTGTTCTTTCTCCCAGAAGATTATTTTTAAACTCAGCTATGGAGAGACGTGAGGGAGGCACTGGAATAAAAGCTCAGGGAGGGTGAGGGCAATCTCTGAGATGTCCAACCTTGTTTCTATCACAGAGCTGCACTCTCATGTGCTTTATAAGTAAGGGTCCGCTCTGTTTAAAATAAGGGTTCTGTGGCTAAAATAAAATGTGAAAAGCAATGATCAACATAGATGGTAAGCCTGCAAAAGAATCCTGTCTCTAGTTGGTAATGAAAATTGGAATCGAGTTGCTGTAAAAAACATAATCCCAATGACTACATGTTGCCGTGTAAAGATGACAGTGGAAAGGTTCAAATGCTCCTAAAACTCATTCAAAACATCATTTCCTCTGCATTACCTAGCAGGTCATTAACATCTCTTTGAAGCATCACATTGGCCTGTATGATAGGACCTTAATTGGAACCAGGCATATCTCCCCACATGAGGAGTGCTGGGCTATTAAATACATACCGCTGAATAGACTGCTTACATTTTCATGCCTAGATCCCTGCCACATGCCTGTGTTAGTATTTCTTTTTTTTTTTTTTTTACTAGAATGTCTTCAAAGAAAAGCTCTGAAGGAAAAACGAATACAGTTCATTTATTTTTAAACTCTGCCAAATCATCTCAGTCAGGCAATAGAAAGGAAAAGAGGGAAGTGCTTGGTGTAATAGAGCCATATTTTTTCTGCGGCTCCTCCATTAATTCTCAGGACCTCTGGCTGCCTTTCTCTCAGGATACAACCCCATTCAAATCTTACATTATCTCGCCTACTTTTCAGCCATTCATTATTGCAGAAGTCATGCCACAACGGCATTCTGCCAACACGAGTTTTAATGTCACTTTTCTATGACCTGACTGTATACCTTGGAAATCATTTGTGAAATGGGAATCAGATCCAAATCGATGGGTCAGCTCAAAGGTTATTTATATTTGGAATTCTTTGTGTAGCACTGAGTATTAGGGCCATAGGGTTTTCAAGTGGGAGTCCTGAAAACTCATTCCATATGTACTGCTCCTCAAATAATGCTGTTTGACACGGTAAGAATACTCCTTCCCAAAGCAGAAGCAGCAATGGGGATTACCAGTCCGTGGTTCCACAACAGGAAGGCCCTTGCCTCTCTCCATCAGTAGTGATGACAAGCCCGTTCTCTAAAACTTTACATGTAAATGATAAAAGATTTGGGTAATGTGTTGATATTAATACGAACAGTCTCCTCTTCCCTGCAAATACTATTAACATCAATGAATCGAATTAATGTGCCACTCGACGGTTTTGAACAAAGAAGTGGTGAAAAGAGATCACCAAAGACTACAGAGAAATAATGAAAAGACACGTTGACCATGAAACAAATTATTTTACAAAAGGGACCGGAATGGAAACACCAGTAAGAATTAGGGCCAGTTTTATTTAAGAGACCCATTAACCATCTGGAAAACATGATAAGCAGCATGTTGAGGAAATCAGCAGGCTGTTTCAAAGGGGCTGACTGGCTAGAAACTGGAGGAAAAAACCTAAGGTATGGAGGGTGTTTAGAGATATGAACAGAGAATAATCAAGCAACAATGTCCAAGTATGACTAGCTTGTCTGTCATTTACATTCCCGTATATTTGCAGGTAGCACAAGGGAGAAGAGCAGCAGTGGGTGTTCTCACGAGCGTTCATTGGAGAAAATTAATACAAACACCTCTGGCTTCTATGCTTTTTGGAAGTTGATCCTAAGGTAGTTTATAAGAACTTCTTTCTTCTCATATTGCCTCTCTTTTCTAAATCATACAGGGATATCGAACCTAGTTCAACAGACCCTAACTTGAGTATTTTAATTACCTGGACTACTTATTAGAAGAGTAATATATATTCTGAGCAACTCTTCTGATGTGAAGCCCAGCAATGTCTCATTAACAAGTGTCTCAATTAACCCGGGCTGGCATCAATTTTCAGCCCTGGCTCTTGGATAAATCATTTTAGGAGATTTGTTAAATTGCCACCAGGGGGAGTATTGGCCAAACTTTGTGCTTCTGGTAAAAGGAAGGCGTTGGCTCCTTCCAGAAGTTCAGACTTAAAAGAAAAGGTAGAAAGGGGGGAAAAAGGAGTCTGTTTCTGGGTGGGCAAGATGTATTTTTAGTAGGGATTTAAATACATGGCAAGCAACATTTGACTTCCTAGGGTTTAATGATAAAAAGCCCATGATAGACCCACTGGAACACCAAAGACATCACATCTTGGAAAGAGAGCATGTCCTAGCTGGTACCTTCTCCCTCCACCTCTCACTCATTCCGCCTTCAGGGAAATGGAAAGCAAACACACTATCCGGTGAACATTAGGGTTTGTGTCATCCTCAGCCTTGATATGTTACACACACATGTTCTTGTATGTGCTTGCTTTCCCTGCTTTTTCTATTGTTTTACACTAAAAGTTCTCCTTTTATGTTAGTAATTTTATTGTCTAATTACAAAAGATTGCTATTTCTTTGAAGAATATTTGGAAGACACATAAAACTACAAGAAAGAAGGTAAAGATCATTTGTAATCCTTACTCTCAAATAATGTGTTAATATTGTGATGTCATCTTCCAGAATTATTTTGGTTCATAATTAAATTTTTTTCTAGATGAAGTCATTCTAGTTTTGCATCCCACCCCCCACAGACGTTAGTATCATCAGCACACTCCTATGACATTAATCTTCCCAAACTCCATCTCCTATCCAAGAATATTTTTCCAAATTTCTGATTTCCTTATGATAAACTACTTGATTTGGAATAAGAGAGTCAAGGATCACGTAAAATTTTAAGTTCTTGATACATATTGCCATTTTCAGGAAGATTGTACAAATACATATCTCAGCCAGCAAAGTAAGGGGATTTGCTTTGCTAGCAATTTATATATTTTGTCCTCCCAAATACATCATATTCACAAGTGGCCTATAATTGTCTTGTGTATAATTATTTGCACACACACACACACACACACACAGCAACTGAGCTTTATCCAGTCTAGTAGCATATTGCCCCCCATCAAATTCATTAACAATGTCTTAGTCATCTAATGCCTGCTTTCATCTCATTTTCAATTATAACTTTGTTAATTCATATTTCCTCTATGTTTTCTTTGATGAAATTGTCAATGGCTATTAGCAATTTAATAGAAGTAGTCCTTAGATTCACTTACTGTTTGTTATTTCTCTATTTCCTGGTTTATTATTGTTTATTGTATCTTTCCTTTTGCCCCTTCTTTGTTCTTTTATTGTTATTTTCTAACTAACTTGAGTTAAATCCTTAGTTCACTTATTTTTGTTCTTTTTAAAAAATGGTGATTTTTTAAGGCCATAAATATACTATATGAGGACCGCTTTGGCTGTATCTTGTAAGTTTTGGCATGCCATGTTCTCAATATCAGCACTTTCTGAATAGCCTCTAATAATAGCTTTTATTTCCTCTTTGATTCAATAACAATATTTAGAATTCTGTTACTTTCAGAATTTATTAAGGACTTTTGCCCATGTAAGTGACACATTTTTAAAAAGTTGCATGGATACTTGAAAAGAAGGCATGCATTTCAGTGTAAGGTGCCAATTCAGTATGCACCTACTGGTTGATTATGTTTACAAAACATTTTATATGTTTTGTTTGAAACATAATATAGTAATAATGCAACAATGTGCTTTTTATTTTTGCAATGATGTTTTTTCATGGCTATATTTTTGTCCATTCTTTTCTTTCCTTACATTTTTCTTTCGATGACATTGATATATTGTGAATAAAGATTCATGACTATTTTATTTTTATTATTTTAGTTTGAACATCTTATGTATGAAATGAGCCTTTGTCCAATTTAATGCTTTTTCGGCTCAATTTCTTCTTTGCTGTCCATATTGCTATTCCTCCTTTCTTTTTCTCCCACTTGTGTGCTCTATTAAAAACTTTTGTCTACCATTTACTTTGGTGATTATTTTGTGAGTAAGTATGACTGCGTATTGTTTTTTAATCCAATTTAAGATTTTTATCTTTTCCAAGGAAGCTTAACTTAGTATATATATATATATAGCCACAGTGGGTTGTACTGTCATCTTTCATTTCCTCTCTGGTTCTATGCTTTAACTTGGTGCACATCAGAATCACCTGAGGAAGCTGGTGGCGGCGGCTCTGTACATGTGTGTATGTGTGTTATTTTTAAACACAATTAATCCTCACTTGCAATTCTGGTTTATAAAATTAAGGTGATTCAGGGCTGGGTCTCTCAATTTTCAAAAGAATCAATAGGTGATAGCGTGCAGCAAGGAGTGAGAATCCCTGCTGTAACTATTCCTAAAACAAATTCCAAATTATATTTCTCCCATAATGAAATTCAAGAGTAAACACATTTTCCTATACTGATAATATTGTAAAAGGTTTTAATTTTTATTAATCTTTTATTGTGATTTAGATTTTTTAAAGAATTCACTTTGATGATTAAAATAAATAGACAAGTCAATGCATACTTACACTAACAATATGTAAGAAGAGCAACATATTAAAAACAAAAGTAACAAATGTCCTCTTCTGGGTCTCTCGTCTTGTTCTCCAGCGTTCCCCATTCTTGGCATTGTCTTATTCATTTTTCAGACTTTCCCTACGTATGCGCGCACACACACACCATGGATCACACGCTGTGTAATGTCCTACTACCATTTTTTGTTCGCTGAGAAATATTTCTTGGTCATTTTCCATATCAAATATAGTTCATTCTGTATAATAAACTCATATTGTCAGAATTCGTTTAGACGGATGCCACTTGGGTATCAGAGGTGATAACCTGGTTTGGGAAAGTCCAGGCGAATGCAGATGCTCGTCACCATAGGATATGTTCCCAAACATAGTAGATACAGAATGGTGGCCTAGGACTTAGTCACAATTCTGTTATTATTACATAACACAGTTCGGGTTTACTGTCTTGTAAGCACTTCTCTGTTTCTAAGATCTCTGAGAGCAAAGATTGCATTTTCTTTGGATTCCTCCTATTTACTAAGCACAGGGCTAGGCACTTAGTATTCACTTGATAAATGTTCTGTTGAATTAATGAATATTGATAACAACGCAAAATCACCCCACTTTTACTACCTTTCTGGAATAAGGGCTAAACCATTTCCTGTTTTCTGTTTTCCCAAATGCAAGAACAAAAACCAAAACCCAGTGACTTAGGTATGTGGTTGCTCAATGTCACAGCTGGTCACTCAGTCTGGAATTCCTTCTCCAGAGCTCTGTCCTGTGGGATCAGGAAGAAGCAGGGGCCACTCAGAAGAATGTGTAAAGGCTGCCCATGCAGAGAGAGAGATGTCAGGGGAGAGGCCAATAGAGCTGGACACCAGGACAGGCCACCATTCCAGCTGTCACTACCAGGATGATGGCAACGCCCCACAGAGAAGCTCTCCCTGCAACCACCAAGGACACTCTGGTGAGGCCGTCAAAGATTTTACAGTGTAAGAATAATTTCAACTAAAGGGAGCTTGAACAGGACTCACTGCAGAGGTCTTTAGCAACGAATGAAGAGTTTAGAAATACTGAGTTTCACCAAAGACTGTCTAAGAGAATATGACAATTATCTGTAAGTACTTAGCAAGCCTTAACACCAAGGTGAGGCATAAACTGGTTAAGGCTTTTTTGAGATACGGAGAAAGTCTTGGCAGATAGTGGTAATTACATTAAATTAAGAAAAATTGCACTTCAGCTGGGTACCTTGGAAAGTCTCCCTTATCTGTTAAACAAGGGTCCCAAAGGGTAAGCTTAAGTCATTTGAAGTCGAACTGGGCCAGTTATTTGAGAACATAAGAGAAGAAATCATTTTAAATGGGGGGTTGGGGGGTTGGTTAGGAAGAGATGAGGTATCTAGTCATGTTTCTCCTATTGCTTTGAAAGGCTGTAAACATCTCGTATACAACGCTAACTCAAGATTCCAGTGACTCAGAACAGCAGCATCATCGAGAGATCTAAGTAAGCTTGGCATTATTTACCCACAGAATTTACTCTTTGAAATGTATTTGGTCAGCTGTGCTTGGCTTCTGTGACTAGCTTTGTTTGTCCAAAGGCTAATTAGCTCGAAGGGTAAAAAGATCAGTGAGTTAATCCATAATCTCGAGTGACTGATGAAATCTAACTGCCAACTGGTACCAGAGCAGATACTTTTTTTTTAAAGGATTAATAAAGCATGGTAGCTATTCTCAAACATTAGCCTTTCCAAGAATAAGACAGGATAAAACAAGAGAAAAGGCTATCCGGGATTTTTTTTTCAAAAACCCTCTTCAAACATTCATACGGTAATTTCACAAATAAAATTTCCAGAATTCCAGAGAAGTGTGCAGGTAGTACTTGCTAAATGGCTCATGGGTCTGGGGTGGTCTTAGGCAAAAGTTGTTCTCTTGGGTCCCCCAATAAGACAATGGATATTTAATTGTTGAGCACTTAACTACGTGCTGAACACTAAGAGTTTTACATGTTATTAACTCAGTTGGTTTTTACAATAAATTAACAAAGCAGGTAGTGTTTTTCTTCTATTTAACAACTGAGGCTATTCAGGCCCCAAGCTCACACAGCTGGTAGGATTTAAAACCCAAACACTCTGGCTCCAGAATTTTTAATCTTAACTGCTCTGCTGGATGGCTCTAAAGGAAAGGAAGGAGACGAGGGGCCAGTGGCAAAGCTCCCCTGGTTCCAATTCTCCATCTTTAGATGCACTGATAACAGCTTGGTTCTGATGGACCATGTCATGTAGTAATTTCAAAACATAGCTATAGTAAACATAAAAATCACTGGGCTTTGGAAAGTCCATTAGAAGAACCTACGTTTTTGAGTGCAGTGTATCAGTTTGCTAGGGCTGCTGTAACAAAGAACCGCAGACGGGGAGCTTAAACAACAGGTACGTATCGGAGATGGGAACTCTGGAATCAAGGTGTCAGCAGGGTTGGTTCCTCCTGAGGGCTGTGAGGGACAAATCTATTCTAGACCTCTCTTTGGTTTGTAGATTGCTGTCTTCTTCCTCTGTCTTTTCACATCATCTTCCCTCAGTGCATGTCTTAACTGTGTGTGCAAATTTCCCCTTTTTATAGGGACAGCAGTCATCTTGCATTAAGGCCATTCTAATGACCTCACTTGAACTTGGTTACCTCCGTAAAGAAAGACCCTATCTCCACCTAAGGTCACATTCTGAGGTGCTAATGGTTAAGACCAGCGTATCTTTTTTGGAGAAGGATACGATTCCGCCCATAACAGGCGGCAAGGTTGCTAGGCGGGTTTAAACGCCCACTTGTGCGGTGCAGCCACAGTCAGAGCAGCCGGAGCACAGCACAGGCTCCCATCAACTCCGCCTGCACATCTTGAAAAGCCCAGCCTTCTACCTTCTCAAAGTCACTGCTGTTTTTTCCTCTCCTAGATGGCTGATAGGAGGGCCAATATAGGGACTCGTGAAGGGTTTTTCTGATCTGTAGAACTGAGCCCAGGCATTTAAAAAACTACTCTTCGACACTGTCCCATATTCCCATCAGCCACCCCCTGAAGCTGTAGGGGAACAGCTTGAGTGAAGGGTGAGATACTGCCATGGGGCTCAATTTACTCTACGAGAAAAACAAGCCCCCGCCCACCACAGGATGGCCGTGAACTATGGAAACTCCCATTCCCGCTCCTGTCTTCTAGGGCAGTGGTCTCCAAATCTCTATTTTTAAAAATCTATTTGACACAACATTGCAAAATGATTATAAATCAATAAAAAATGTTTAAAAAATCTATGAAGCCTCTTTCTTACACATTTTAAGGTGACATTTTAAATTTTTTATCAAAGTTGAAATAGTTGCAAAGAATATAATTTTCAATGTATTACAATATGGATAATTTAAAAATAAAACTGTTGAATCACTTTGAAAAATGGGTATACTTACAACAATGATTTGACACTCATAATTGCTCATTTAAATGTACATGAAGAAGCTCTTCTTGGATAGTTGGAAATTTTACATCCTCATTTCTCTCCTTTAACACAGGTCAGCAAACTTTTCATATAAAAGACTAAATATTATTTTAGGCATTTCAAGCAGTCTCTGTCATACACACTCCACAACGCTCTTGTAGCACGAGAGCAGTCACAGACAATGCACAGACTAATGGGCACGGCCGTGTTCCAGTCACATTTTATTTACACGAACAGGCAACGGGTTGGATTTGGCCCATGACTCACTTCTGCCTACCTCTGTTCTAGAACTCAAATTCCCACTCTACTTTCCATGTTCCCCATTCTATCTCAACTCTACTCATACAGAATTTAATCATAACAGAATTTTATGCTTAAAGGTCAGCTGTTAATCACGTTATCATACTTTTCTGAAACATATATGTGTATATATACGTAGTGACTTGGAAGACACACACACACACACACACACACACACACACACACACACAGGCTTGGGAATCAGACAGACCTGGATTTGAACTTCACTCTGCCACTTACTAGGTGGATCATAAGCTAACTCTTTGATGTCTCTGTTTCCTTATCTATAAAAAGGGATGTAATGCCTTTTAGCATTGCTCTTAGCACTCTACTGAAACTGGGTTAGGAAAAAGGATGGAGACTGAGAATCAGCACCAAAGATGTCCTGTCCCCGACATCCATCCATCCTTTGAGTATAAGAGGAGGTACTCTTTGATGAAAGTTGTAACCTGATAGACCATAGCATGTGGTAATTTAAAAATAGTAACGACACTAAAAATACTTTTTAAGGGTTTGGGAAACGCCATTAAAAGGTCCTATGCATGTGTAAAGTGCCTAGCACACAGAGGGCACAATTCTTATACCCACCAGACAAGTGTTCCTGATACTGCTCTGGCTTTGAACCAAGTGACTGGGAGTGTGCTTATGAAGGACAAATAACCAGGCATGGGAGAGACAGAAAGATCATCACACATAGCTGGTGTGACTACTGTATAGTTACCTACAGGGCTGAGATTTGGGGCTAAGAGATTTTCCCACCCACTGATGTTTATACCTCTGCCTGGGTGACATGGAATTGTCACAGTTCCCAATTACCATAGTTACAAATTCTTTCTCTCTTGGCTGTTTCAACAGTTCAGAATCCTTTGGTAAAGTGAAAAAATATTTGGTTCATCTAGGTTTCACCTTGTAGGTTGCTTTGCAAGACTAAGATAATGTACAGTCCTTGAGTTTGCTTTTATAGCTCTGATTTTCTTCTGTGTTCATTTCCAACTGTGTGCCAGCAAGGCCGCTAAAAGAGAGGCTGAGGGGAAGGAAGGCAGAAGGCAAGGGCAGTCATCGGCCCAGTTTTGATCAGTTTCTTTCAAGTTGTTTTCAAACATCTCTTACAAGGCCCCAGTTTTTGAAAGTGGATATTTATTCTGTATGTAAATGGGTATGGGACTGAACGCATAAGTGAATGCACGAATGAATTAGTGAATGCATAAGTAACTAGTTTGTTGGATATTTTTCTTATCACAGCCTCTGTATTCTGAGTAATTCCAAATTTGAGGCTAATGATTGCATGAAAAATAAACCTCCATGCAGGTTAATCCACTGGATTTCATATATCTATGAATATAGATAATACCAGGGCCTGGAACTCATACACGGTAGGCATTCAGCAAGTATTGACTGTTGAATAAATTGAGAGAGTGAGGAAATGTGATCATTGTCTCTTATTAACAGAGACCTAGTAGCAAGTCAATTTCTCTGAGCCTCACTTTCTTTACCTGTAATAAGGTAACTGCGTGCTGCTGCCCTCCCCTCCCTGCCCATGGGACCACTGAGCCCGGATGTAGGGACCTAGGCCGCCACCACCAGTGCACCCAAGCTGTCACCAGATGAAATGTATTTGCCATCCCAGGACTCTAGTTTCTTCAAGATCTAGATGTTATGGGATTATAATAAATAGAGCACCACATGTAACAAACAAAGGAATCATTCCTTCTCCTCTCTTGACAGAATGCACAATTCAGGAGTGTGAAGTGCATGGCTGGAGGTAGGGCAGGATTTGGGGGAAAAGCTATCAAGTGTCTGAGAACCCGCAGAGAAGAACCCAAAATGTGCATGTTTTTCAAAGCTTTTATTCTGTTTTCAAGAAGAAGAAAGACAGAGTTGGTGTTGCATAGCTAAGGCTTGGCTATCCAGAAAGATTTACAAACCATCTGCAGAGACCAAGAACATCTTGACTTACAAATGTAAAACCCACCAATTATTTATGGCAGTTCACAGCCTCCCTGAGTGCCACAAAGCATTTCTGCCTAGAAACACAACATCATTTGATCCTGACTGGCTTCCAAAGTCAGGAAAGTGTACCTCACCATCCTGGAGCTTCTGGTCCTCTGCTTCCAGAAACATCATCCAGAAACAACAACTAATCCTCCTCAAAAAACAAGGCTGAGTTATTAGGAGATACTAGATTTGAAATAATAGTAATACCTGAAGTTACAATCACAAAGCCCATGGCATTTGTTATTTTTTTTGTTTTCCAGACATTTCTATATGTCACAGTAGCATAGTGAGTGATTAGTACATCGTAATGCGCTGTGTGAGGAGAAAACAGTACGATTACATTCTTTGCATAGAGGCCATTTATTTTTCATATCTCACAGAATGTATGTATTTTACCCATGAAGGGAAAAAGATACTAAAGACTGGAGAGGACCTAAATCTTACTAGTGGCTGAGTTGAGTCTCCCCACCCTGCCCCAGGCTCCTGGTTCTAAGTGCAGGGTTCCTTCCTCTCTGGGTGGCCTCCAGTGCTAGCAGGGTTGGGGTCACCTCTGAGGATTTGGGAGCATGACCTGAGGGCAGACAGCCTGCACCCTTGTTGTCCTAATAGAGAACCTTCCATAGCCTAAGAGCTGACTTAGACATTCTGGGAGACAGGAAAAATAAATGGCTTCTACCCAAGGAACGGAATCATACTGTCTTCTCCTCACATGGTACGTTATGGTGTAGTCATCACTCACACAGGCATCTCTCTAATTTTCATTCAATAGCCCTGTGAGATATGCACCTTTAACTCCATTTTTTACAGGTAAGGAAAACAAAGGTTCAGAGAGGTTGAATGGTCATTTACACAGTGCTTGGGAAGCTTAGAGTGGAGAGGGATTGACCATAAGGTGGTCTTTGCAAAGGTTTTTGGGTCTACTTCGCAAAGACATTTGAGTCTGGCTCATGAAATCTAGAATAGGGGCTTTTTGCCTCTTGACTTCCGCCACTCTCTAAACCTGGAAGGGTGTGGCCCTGCTACAGCTATTGTGGATACTAGAAAGAGTGTCAGTGGACAGATCCCTAGAGCCCAAACCTCAGATTAAAGCCTTAACTTTAAGGAGTCTAGGTCTAGGGGCAAGAATCAGTGTTGGTGGCTTTCAGACCACTTCCTGCTTTGATATCCCTCTTTGTAAATGATAAAGCTTCTGAAGTGCAGATTTCACCTTGCTGGCGCATGCGACATGAGTGGGCTCTCACTCACCTGCTGGGACCTGTGGACCGGTTGGCTCTAGTCGGAAACTGTCCCAAGGGACCCTAACTGGGGCTGCCGGTATGAAGGCCATTAACTGACGGGTACTTCATTTCAGCCAGGCAAGTTGATGTTTGAATTGTCCCAGATGCTACCTCAAATGTTCAGCTAGAAGACTTCCAACCAAGTCAGAATGAAATTTTATTTCATTATGCTTTCAGGTCTGGGAATGATGCCAGTGAACTGCTCTCCTTGACAGGTCTCTCAGCACTTATAGCTCAAAGGAAGAGAAAGTGAGCTCCCAAAGTGCCAGGCTGCAGCCCTCCTTGTCAGATGGCAACACCTCCATGGAACAGCTGAGCAAGGGGATGAGTAAAGAACTGTCATTCCCTTCTTGCTGAAACCCTGCATACTGATGATAACTCCCTGTAGGTTCCTTTCCAAAGTCTTGCACAAGGCACGGAGCTGAGGAAAGGACCCAGGAGCGGGATGAAAAATCAGTTTCAGCTGTAAGTCAATACTGATAGCTTGACAGGGGCTGGCTTAGTGCTGTGTTAAGAAGGATTCCAAGGTCCTTTCTGGACACGGTGAGAAAGATTGTTATTATGATCAATGAAGTATGAGCCCTAGGCGATGGACTGTTTGGAAGCTTGACACATATATGGCCTCAGAAGTCACCAAGTCTAAACTCCTCTTTACTCATGTGAAGATGCTGAGGAGCATAAGGGTTGAATGACTTGTAAAATTTAGTTCTTAGAGACAAAAATCCAAGGTCTTAGATTCTAGATTACTGTTCTGTCATCTATACAAATGCTTTTCTAGTCCTGGATTTCTAGAATATCACAGACTGAGAGAAGCTAGCAAATTAGTGAACTCCCAAGTCCTGTCACAATGCAAAGACAACTATCGTAATGGCTATTTTACTTATGGAAATATAGCTATTTCCCTGTGTCTCTGCACTCACTGAAATCCCACAGCATTTCTTTCCACTCATGATAGGAGTGGATTAGCCTTTGACTTGGCCAAATATCAGCAGATTCACAAAGCAAGTCATCTTGCTCTTGAGATTCAACCTTGCCTGTGGTTTAATCTACTCGGTCTGCCACTGTTGCCTCAGGAAAAAAAAAAAAAAGGTTACGTTATGCCATGAAAAGAAAGAAGTTGCAAAGGAGCCACACAATTTAAGCCAACAAACATTTGTTGAGTGCTTAAGAGCACAAGGCTTTCTACTTGATCATTTTCTCCAATACACTAGAAATCCGTAGAGTCGGACCAGGAGGCATCCCTGATGTTAAGGATGGTATTGAACTGCATGGATGTTTTCCCCCTTTCTCAATGTTTTGTGTTATTTCTAAAAGAGTTCTTTATTAACGGAAGGTTTAAAGCACCAAGCGTTAGAGTGAGCTTTATCCTTCCACTTGGAGATTTGGCTGAAATCACTAGCGTCAGGACATCTTTAGGAGGCTGGAAATGGATGTTTCTAAAAAGGCTTTGCAGCATGATTTTGATCTAGTTATTGAAGAGGTTGATTCTGTTTCCACGGTTGGTTTTACATTAAAAAAAGAAACACTTTGGGGGAGTAGGTAAATAGGATAATATCTGATGTTGAAGGTAAAGATTTTTAACCAA